AGTCACCTTCATCTCATTATGGCGGCTTGAATCAATCAAATCAAGCTCAATAAGGCTTAACAAGGATGCTACGTCTATTGTACGGGGCGAGAGGAGCAGTAAATAAAAGCCTAAACAAACGTACCACAAACTGTATTTATTTCTGATGCCAGCTTCCCCCCGCAGGTAAAGAAACTTGTGTTTCGAAAGAAGTTAGCTTTCGAAAGCAGAAAGCGATACCCAGTTACTTTGTCCACTTTTACCGTGTTTGCACGATTGTAACGTGCAGGTATATTTAGCCCTCAAATATTCTAAAAATAACTTGATGCCGATTGCACCGTGCAGGTGAAAAAATGGAGGGTGAATACCACATACCTGAAAGACATATTTTATGGAACGAGTAAACTCACACATACACTCGAAATAACCACACTAGTCACTGTCATTGTCCGACGATAGCTCCTTTTCGCTGTCCATAGTCCACAGACAGTTGTCCTTGCTGCCGTCCAAGGCTTTGGCAAGGTCGCACTTTTTGAAGGAGTGGACGGCCATCGCCCGAAGAAGTGCCTTCCAGGCGTCGTGTGCCCATTTTGCTAAGTCGTCAAGCGTCGCCCTCTTCAAACGCCCCGCCGGCGTCAGCGCGTGCTCCCCATCAATCAGCCGCTCATTGTATGCTGTACGTACATAGTCCTTCATCAACTTGTTCAAGCAGAAGCCAAGCGGCTGAAGTTGAGAGGTCATGCCACCTGGGATGATCACGAGGTCGGTGAGGCTGGCCACAAGTGTGTCCTTCACACGGTAGCTGACATGGCACCTGAACGAGTCGAGCACCAACATGCACACATGCCCAGATCGGCACCAGGTTGCTTCCTCCACATTGAGTCTATCCAGTCAATCATGAGCGCTGTGTCCATCCAGCCTTTGGGGCGCACCTGAACAACAACATTCTTAGGGAATGTAACGTTCGACGGAAGCGTCTTTCTCTTGAAGATCAGGAAGGGGTCCAACTTGCGCCCGTCTGCCATGCAGCATAGCACTGCTGTAATTCTATTCTCGTTTCCTATCGAGAGGATTCGCACCTGCTTAGCGCCTTTGGATTCCACTGTGTAGTTTGATGGCATATCGAAAAACATGGGAGTTTGATCGGCGTTTCCGATCTGTCCGATCATGTGGCTCCTGTACCGGCAAAGCTTGACTACAAACTGTTGGAATGCAACCAGCTTCCCTTTATATGCTTCTGGCAGATACTGGTTTTTCGCCTAAGCGAAAATCCCTTTCGCTTCATGAATTTGGAGATCCAGCTCCTGCTGGCCTTAAAACGAGACTGGGGAATGTTGCAGCTTCTTGCAAGCTGGAGTGCCTTCACCTTGATCACATCCGAGGAGACGGGCAGCTGATTGAGTCGCAAGTCCTTTACGTAGTCCACAAGAGAGTCTTCGAGCTCTAGAAAGCTTCCACGTTGGGGGCCTTTGAACCCTTTCCGCGTAGCTCTGCAGGCGAAAATCCTGCCCCATTGTTTACGCCAGGCGCGCACGCACGTCTCCGGGACGCCCAATGCTCGTGACGCAGCTCGGTTGCCTTCCTGTTCCCCAAGGATGGTGACTTTGCGCGTGAAAGACGCCTCATAGTGAATGCGACTTTTCTCCATCTTGCCAATACAACTGAAGAACAAACGAGCGAAACGGGAGTGACCGGTGTGACAATTGAGAATGCAAAAAGATGGCGTAATGTCGATGAGGTTGGATCACGTGATAGAAAGATGGATGGATAGATAGCGGCTGTACCTTTGAAACAGGTGATAGCTTGCGCCACCTAGCATACTATGTGGCCATTACGGAGTTTCGACTTTATTTAAATTTCGGTTCATGGGTTCGATTGTAACGTGCATGCAAATTTGAGCTCGCATTTTCCGGAAAAAAGTGTGCGTTATAATTGTGCAAACACGGTACGTCTTAAGCGCCGTTCACACTCTTGCGACCGAGTAAGACTGAGAGAAACCAGACCGGTTTTAAGCCTTTTGCGACTTCTTAGGACCGGATGCACTGCTGCGGAGCTGGTCCTAAGAGATAGCAAGAGGCTTGAAAACCGGTCTGGTCTCTCTCGGTCGTACTCGGTTGCAAGAGTGTGAACGGACCTTCACCTTTGCTATTCCTTAAGCCAGAATTCCTTTGTCAACTGGACATCATGGAGGAGTGGTAAACCATTTGCTAAACCAGAAGCCGCTCTCAAGAGAGCAAATTCGAAGCAGCTGTTGCACGGTAACCAGAAATTATTGCAAAGCATGAAAGAAGATAAATCTCTTGCCACCAGATGGCAGAGTCAAGCAAAGTTATTGCAAATAGCTAGGCTAGGTAGCGCTAGATACCGCCCAATTCATGTTCAACAAGAAAGTTTTATTTGCTCACGCCACCATTGCGCCTTGGGCACCTTTATTATACAGACGTGTAGATACATTATGCATACTACAAGCATCAGCTGAACATATGAATGAATTTGGGGTTTTTTGGCGCAGCAGCAACTCGGGCCGTAGTGCGCCAGCTGAACATATACATTGACCACATACACATAGCACATACAAACATCAATACAACAGCACGCTAAACCGATCACTACTTCGGAGCTCTGCGTTTCCGCCTTTTATACTGGTCGTTTTGAAGGCACGGATTTTCTCGGTGACTACCTAAGCCATAAATAATCTGCCGAGAAGAGTCGAAGTTTGCGGAGCCGATGTACGGTGCATCCGCTTGCTCGCCAGCCACCTGGCAGCCAACCTTACAGGACGAGCGCCACGAAAGTAACACGGCTCCCGAGGATCGTTCCCACTGCGCACTCAACAACATGGCCTACAGAATAGACATCTTTGGCCTTGTTGAGGCAGTGACTGGTTTTGCACGCCTTGTCAACATTGATTTATGCTGCTCACCAGCAGCGCGACTGCAAAAGAACAAACTAACAAAAAAGTGCCGGTTACTGGTATGGCTTACAACCACTACAAAACTACACCATACCAGCATTTTCAGTCGGCGCACTGCGCGGAGCGGAGAATGAACGAGCTTGCTTACCCAACACCCGATCACTGCTGCATCCGTCCATGAGTGAAAACGGATCACCACGACTCAATTTCTGGTCATACTGGTTGCGAAGGTTGTCTGCCTTATAAAACGTGAAACAAACACCCAAACTTCGTTCCAAAAATGCAATAAAAAAGAGTCCAAGCATGCCAGACACCAACGACACAAGTTTTTGAGGAAGAGCAAAAACCAATCTTTTGGTGATGTCGGTTATCTAGTTACCCGGCGGGCCATAAGAGAGCGCCACCCGAACCTCTCGGGGGTCGCAGTTTCATTCTCATCATCATCACCGTAATTGCTGTGTAGTGAACAACTCCAATGCCAGCACTCGCCTAGCATACACTGCATTGTTTCCGTGCTCTCTGCATATTTGTAGCGATATGGAGCGCACCGCAGTGCTAGAAGCATGCCTCTGAACCAGGTATATGCAGTGTGGAGGACTGTGGTATGTATGTGATGATGCAAGCACTGTCCGCCGTCGGCTCTGGTGCAACGTTGCACTCGATGACATGATCGCAGTTGAGCATGTCCTCTCCTTCAACAAGAAACCACTTGCTTTCGCCCATGTCGTCCATGATTTTGCAAGGGATGGGGTAACTGAAGAGTCACCCCGCATGCAGGGCGCGCGGCTGACACAACGCGGCTGATCCGGCATGCGTGCGCGGGGGTGAACCTGTAAAGAGGCTCGTGTGGAAGTTTGTTTGCTTCAGTTGGCACTATGGCATAGTGGCCCCTACACTATATGGTGCCTGCACCTTGCCAGCAGCAGGTCTCATATTGGGTCTATGAGTTCTTGTTAAGGGGTGTCCAAACAGGACACTACAAAACGCACGACTCCGACAAATCGTAAAAATTGAAGCGGACGCGCCCGCTTTAATTTTCACGATTTGTCGGAGTCGTGCGTTTTGTAGTGTCCTGTTTGGACACCCCCTTACACTGACATTTCAATGCAGATACTTTTTAAAGCAGGGACTTTTCGGTGGGAAGACTTTTTGGATCGTGAACATTCAAGAGTAAGGATGTTTAGGTATTGAGCCGAGAACTGGTTTGTTATTTATTGTGGTACATTCTGCCAACCAGTGCTTTCTGCAACACTAGCACAACCAATATGCATAGTTTACTTTTTCAAAGCATAACGGCAGCTGATCGGCTAAAACAAATGTCAAATTTATTGAAGGACACACAAACAAGCGGATTAGGCCGATTGAGTTACCCCCCTAAAAAGTCTGTCAAAAACCCTTTATAATGCCCTTTTAGCCTGACAAACCAACACACACAATAAATTAGTTCATACATCCCTAGGCTATGTGATTATTTGCTACAGGTGCCCAGTTGTATCTGTGTTTTTCTCCCACAAATTCTTAGTGAGGAAGAATTTCTCGGGTGGAAATACATCCACCGTTTTTAATACGCCCGCTTAGAATATGTTGCGAAATATTTTGTAGCCAAGGGGACGACTTATAACTTGGACCTGATGTTTGCGCAAAGTGATATGCTCAGACACGGACTTGCTAAAGTGCTTCGGTAAAAGCGTGGGCAGCCAGGAAATTCTGTGCACCTAAATGCTTCACTTTGAGGTAATCGTGCACTGAAATGCGTCTGCATTTAAAAGTTGGTGCTACAGACAAATTCACCTTAAACTAAATTAACTGAAAACCCCATGCACCGAAAGGTCTTACACTGAAATAGTGGGATCCCATCTCAATTGACAGAAACTGGCCTTATTGTTTAGATGGTACATGCCATTATTGTCTAATTTACAAGCTCAATTTCCGTCAACGTGGGTCAAAAACTACCGCATAGACACGTGTAAGGGCCACATTTTTTTTTCAAGAAATGAGGACCAATTTTTAGGGTGCGGCCCATACACGCAACGTGCAATTCTTAAAGTAAAAAGAATGTACCAGATAGCGAACGAAGAGTGTTTATTGCAGTACACGGCATATGTGCTTAATCGTCGTCGCTCAACGAGTCCTCAGACTCGGAGTCCAAGGTGGTCTGTTGCGCAGCATCGTCCTCCCACAAGCAGTCGTCTTCAGTACCATCCAAGCTGTTGGATATACCGGTGACCTTAAAGCTTCGGGATACAACGTCCGTCGATACCGAGCTCCACGCTAACAGGATCCAACCGAGAACAGTCGCAAGCGGTGCCCTCTTCAGCCGTCCGGTCGGCGTCTGCTCATGGCTGCCGCTTGCCATCCATTGAGTGTAGAGCCTTCAGAATTCAATCTTAAAAGGTCGATTTACGCTGACGTCCAACGGCTGCAGCATTCCAGTGAGGCCGCCCGAAATCACGGCCATGTCTGTGCCGACACGGCGCAGCTGTTCCTTCACCTCATCGGTAAGGTGACCGCGGAAGCTGTCTAACACTAAAAGTGACCATTTGGCCAACAACGCTCCCGGTCGGTTTTGCTAAATACATTTCACCCAGTCGAGCACCAAGTCATCGTTCATCCACCCCTTTTCTTGGGCTCGCACTATGATTCCCTTGGGGAACACTTCGTTGGGAATCCTCTTCCTTTTCAACACAACGTACGGAGGTAACTTACGCCCATCCGCGGTCACACAAAGCATCACGGTGCAGCGTTGGCACTCAGCGCCAGTGGTCTGCACGGTGACGCTCTTCTTGCCTTTCAGCTCGACTGTGTAGTTCTCCAGACAGTCAAACCATACAGGAGTTTGATCAG